AAATATGACTGAATAAAAGGCATATACTAAATAATAGGCAAAAAGAAATACAGATGTGATAGAAAATATATAAGTCAATGGGTCTGTACGTTAAAATATAATAATAATAACAATAATAATAATAATAAATTATAATAATAGTCATATGAATTACTAAAAAGGATTAAGAATAAGGGAAATTATAGTCCCTGATCATACCGAGGTCCGAATATGTGGGTTTTGTGTTTGATTATGTGTCTGAGTTCAGATATGCGCCTTTCATTGGGGATGGGAAATTACTGGCAATGAGAGTAGGCCTACAGCGCATGTTATTTATAGAATGGCCGGGGCTGAAGTGGTCGGCTACAGGGAAACCCTTACTGTGATTGCGGATGATGGATTGTTTGTTTAGCAAGGCGAGCAGGCTGTGGCTTAGTTTTCTCTTGTGATGCTGCTACAGGCCAGCACTGGTGGCGCCTGCGGGGGCCGGGGTGGCCAGCCCCCCTCTCCGGCGGGGAGAAAAAGCATAATTCATCGGGGAGAAAAAAATATTATATGTATTTTTTACATATTAGTAGACTAAAAAAAATTTATAAAATAAGCCTCTGAAACCCCTAAATTGTCGAAATTCCGAACCTTTTAATCAGAGCTCGACCACACCCACTTTGCTTTCGTCGGGGAAATCTGACACCTCGTCGGGGAACCCCCCTCCCACCGTCGGGGGAACCCCCTCCCACCGTCGGGCAAATCCTGGCGCAACCCCTGGCCCGTAGCAGCAGCACAAGAGAAAACTAAGCTAAGCCACAGCCTGCTCGCCTTGCTAAATCCACATTGGTCACACAGTGTAGTGGTAGACGGCATAATTATACATGACGTCACCATATACATACCACGCCCCCTCGGCTGAACCCGTTGTATTTAGCAACTACCCTTTAAGTTAATAATTGGGTTAATAATTGCTACCTCATGACATTTGTCTACGCCCCCGTTGGGGGCAGTAGACACAAAAACCGGCTTCTTCAGATAAACCGGTAGAGTGTGATCACTGAAATTAACCGACGATACGACTTGGCGATCATGGAAATAGTTTTAACCTTAAAGTTACTTTTAGTTAGTTAAATTAATTCCGGCGAATTCCTCGACAGCGGGTCCAAGCGGGGGGTCCAGAGGTCCTCCATTGGGTCCTTTTCCCCAGATCCCCGCTAGTGCCCCGCCCTGATTGAATAGACGTGGGGTCGAAGAAAACTAAATAAATGGTAGAAGTAGGCGAAAGGTATTGCTTTCCCAATCACCATTGTTATATCATCATATGTTATTAATCGTACACTAAATATTAAAATATAGATATATAGCAAGTTAATAACTATAGGCCTACACAATTCACAAATTAAGCAATTTAAACATAGAATTGAATTTCATTTTAAGTTCATGAAAGACAATATTTTGAAGGCAATTGCAGACAAAACCTCATCATCTTCCTTCATGTGGTTAATAACGGCGGCGTAGGATGAACGAAAACAACACTGCAGAGAAACCGACTGCTGCTGCGTACACGTAAGTATGGCTCGTAGTAGGTCGATTTCCCTCAAGAAATTGTTGAATTTCATCGACAGTGTAGACACGTCTGCAAAGTGGGCAGCTGTCGTGTGATTCAAGCCATTCCATCAAGCAAACTCTGTGTATGTCGTTTTTGCATTCTCGACATTTCAGACATGGTCCTTCTTCCAAGGGTTCTAGGCAAATGCAACAGTCTATTTTAATAGCCTACAAGATATTAGAGATAATGTATTTTAGAAATTAAATGATGATATTGTTTCTAAGGTCCCAAAACACGATGTGTAAAAGCATACTGACACGTTGGGGGACGCAAAGGTGAAATGGGAGGGCTCAATGATTTGATGTTTTAATTTTTAAACTACTTTTGTTAAGCGTAATTTTTGTATATCGAAATATTTCCAAATATTACACTTACAACCAGAATTCAGGACTATGTAAATTATGCAACTGTAACCTTAGAAAAACAATTCATCACTTCATTTTATTTTAATAGCCTACAAGATATTAGAGATAATGTATTTTAGAAATTAAAAAATGATATTGTTTCTAAGGTCCCAAAACACGATGTGTAAAAGCATACTGACACGTGCGTTTGTGGGACAGCACTGTGTTCCTGGGGACATGCGCGTGTTCCTGACCTTCTGATTGGTCGGTTTTGATTGACACTCTGGAAAGGTCCACTGATTCTGTTGATTTCTGTGTTGGTTGTCAAATATTAATTTATCGAAAATATGTAGACTGAATGGATGCACGAGTATGAAAGTCATTTAAACCCATTCTATTTTTTAAATAGCCTACAAGATATTAGAAATAATGTATTTAAGAAATTAAAAGATGATATTGTACTGCAATAACGGATTTTTATTTTATTTTTTTATTTCAACTTTATTTCACGAGGGTAGCTCTAACAGCTGCACTACAGTAGTACAGCTGACTTGAAGAGGCCCTCGAAAGAAAAACAATACATAAAAATATATACAATACATTAAGAATCCAAGTAAAAGCTTCATTACGGTAAAGTTCAAAAACAATATAATAAATAAAATATTGGATAAACATTGTAACATTCATTAAAAATACAATAAACTTTAAAATTCATTATAAAATTACAAGGTGATTGCAGTTTGATTTGGTTATATGAGGTTATTGTTGTGACGTGGGTTGGAACGTGTGCGCGATCACCTGCCTGATTGTTCAAATGCTTTGTTTTCCATTGAGCGAGGGTTAGTCCTCGCTGATATGTTGAACTGTTTGCAACGGAGCTGTGTCTACAGTGCAATTATAAATAAAGGAATACTCCTGTACGTCTTCTTGTACCGGTATAACTTGTGTAGCCTGGTCATTTTGATGTTAAACACAACAAATGGTTGTTTTAGTAATCTTAGTTTTAATCCATTAGATTGCCAAATTTCGTCGGACTTTCAAATTTTGTAACCGTGGTTTTTCAAATTTTTCCGTGTAAAACCTGCGGTTTTAGCAGAAATGTGGTGAACCGCCCGAAGTTTTTTTTTGTAGTAGCGATTTTCGGCATTGTTGTGGCAACATGTAGCTTTATTTATTACCTACAACATATGTAAAAATCAATTTGATTGGTTAATAAATGACGTCGGACTAGGTTATGTTTGTAAGAATCAATCAGAAGCAAGTCATGATCAGTTTAAAAGCCAATGCTTTAGAATGTGGCGAACGAGTATTCGACCGTATTGGTCGAGCAGAAGGAGCTAAAACTTTGGAGTTAAAAATTTTAGAATGTTATTTGCATTATCTTGAAATATTATTTTGATTTTTAGTTTGTGCATGTGTAGGTGAACGTATATAGATATAATTTTTAATGTATTTACATAACAAATATAGTAGTTATGACAGTATATACAGTAAATGACGATATTCTGCTAGGCCCAGGTATTCTCTTTGGCGAAGCTCCGGTTTCAGATCTGATAATCAGACCATACCATTTTCAATGGGTCATGCAAGTG